GGCTGTGCCGGCACCCCCTTCCCCTGCCTGCCCCGGCGAGACCGGAGCTGCCGGCGCCGCGCGTACTAATGCCCGGCCCAGGCAGGGTGCTGGCAGAGCTTGGTTTAAAGGTTGAGCTTTCAGACCTAAGGCCTGCACGACTTCCACGGTAGCAGGCAGGTAAAGTAGGGAAAAGAAAAGAGGAGGTGATTTTTCCCATCTGTATTCTCAAATTAATACTTTACTATAATTTGTGGGAGGATTTGTGTACAGGATTTTGTACATGAAGTTCTACTACACAGCACGTATTGCAAGACACCGCGTACTATATACATACATCAATTGCATCAAATTATTGTATGCAAGCTGTAGAACTAGTTGCACACAAATAAACCTTACTTTATACTCATTTTTAGCATTAGAATACGCAATGATAAAATAACATCATTACAAGTCTAGTATTCTTATTTTCACATTATACATTTTCTTACAGGCACATATGTATATACAGTGGCTATTTCCATAACCAGCTCTATGTTCCAAAACAGCCCTTCTGAATTAAGAAAGATTCTGGAAAGATCTGTTTATTGCTGAATTTGACACAGTATTTCTTCAGTGCAGCTGCAGGTGCTGTCTGCAGTGCCAAGTCCATTAATTCTCCATGGCACATCCAAAAAGTCAAGATGACAGCAATATGAATCCAGCTTGCTGATGTACTTCAAAAAAAAAAAAAAAAAAGTAGCAATTCACGTCCATAGGGTCATTCCAAGGTCATTTTGGAAAGAAGTATAAGCTAGGACTACAGCAGCAGCCTTACTGTCTTTTTAGGACAAGAAGTTCATAATGAGTAAGGATTTTCCAGTTCCAAAAATGAATTCTATTACATGAGAAATGAAGAGGTGAAAATACAAAGCAATTAATCACAAGACGGTATTTAAAACAATCTTTTCAATACACAGAGTACTTAGTCCACTTGACATTTTGTTAAGAGGAAAAGCTAAATTACGTTCTGCCAGTAACGATGCAGAGAAAACAGCTTTTCCAGTACCGCTCAAACAAATTAGTTTTGTTCTCACACATTCATGTAATTTCACAGAATTTTTTAACTGCCGCCAATAGTGAGCTGAAGTCCGCTGATACACATTTGGGATTATCATGTGAAATTATGTATAAAATATTATTTCTGGTATCTGCCCATCTTCTATTGATGTACCATTGTTGTTACCTGGTGAACTATAAAAGACAAAGCATGTTTTGCTAGCAGTAGGAGATTCGTGGATCACTTTCTTCAAACCTTTTGTTCCATAGTGGGAATCGGGACCCTGAAAAACATCAGAAGAGATCAGCAACTGAATGGAAGCGGGCAGTAAGACCCATAAAATGTTGAAGTTCAAACACTACTGACTCAGGTTATTTTAATAGTATAAAATTTCTGTACCCACATCATGTAAGTTATATACAAAATCACAGACAACACAAGGAAGTGCCCTGTGTCTAAATAACAAAAGTTTCTCTGACAGCAGACGTAAACCACTTGATTTTATCCAACTAGTAATGAATACATATTTTCTAGTATATCTCCTTGTCATACAGGTTGTCTATATTCTTAGTTCCCTGCCTCAGCTTCTTTTAGCGTGCAACATTTTTTTGCAACCCATTCAACTTTGATTTCTGTATAGGGAATTATATTTAAAAGAATATTAAAATATTTTTGAGAAAACATTGAATAAATAAATTTGTCCATAACATTAAAGGGGAGACATTCCTAGATTTCAACACCAGTATATAAAAAGTGATTAAAAAAAAAAAAGCTTTCCATTTTCTTGACTCTAGCTAGTGGTTAGAATAACCTTGATAAATCAAACTTAAATTTTGATAGCTGCCAGATTAAATATTCTAGACAGTGCTTTTGCCCACACAGAATCAGTGACTTCCATTAGAACTCATTCTAACTCTTAAATCAAGCCAGGAAGTGGGAAGTCACAAAAGATCCAGTTAGGAATTCTGTGCTGTGGCACAGAAGAGAAGTAGCAGTCTTAGAAGTTACTGTGGAGTTTAGCTACGGTTTTCTTTAGTACTAAACTTAAAACAAATCCAAGACCTAGAAAACACTTTCTCATCAAAAGAACAACTCTTGCATCAAAATAACATTTTCTTCTCTACTGTTAGGCATTCGTACTTTCAATGTTGCACAAGCTGTGTAGCAAACCGTTGGCAATATCTCTATTGGTTCTTTGAACATAACTCTGAATGTACTGGCCGTTCCATCACAACTAAATCCAGTATCGTTTTGTCCTAGTGTTTGATTCTTCTCATAATCAATTATCTGTATAAAAACATGAAAATAGTATTTTTAGGTTTATAAACTTGAGAAATATTCTTATTGTATGCATATTAGAATATTACAAGCAAACAGTTGCCTACTCCACCCAGTTTAATTGCCAGGATAGTGCAATCTCAGACCTGGAAAGTAGGTGTAATTTCCCGATACCATTAAGATTGACCCAGCTGTGTGCCGAGCAATAGTTTGAGAGTTTTACACAGGCTGTCCAATCTGTGGGCTAAACTGTAACCTGGTTGGAGCAGCATTCAGGTTTTTGCTTGGGAGATGAAGAATAGCTCATAGACTTTCGGCTTCTGAGCTTCATGTACTACACATAATCCTGTACTTAGATTTGCTGATCTTCATACACCTACACAGCCCACATGAGGGAAGCACATGCGCTGGCTGTGGCTGATTTAGAAAACAAGTTTTTACAGATAACATAAGCAGTCAATGATACATTGTTAAAAGAAAACAGAAGTGTATGCTGCTATGTTTTATACAATTTATTTCTATTCTATATTCAGCATAGAAATTACACCCAGACTACACATTATTTCTTTTGCCTTCAATTTTAGTGGTGAATAAGAATCACTAACATGTAGTAGTAGCAGATACCTCACTTCTCATTTTGGATAGTAATCCTGGTCCATGCTGCTGAATACCTCTTGCAGAAGATGGATATCAGAGTTTTAGAGTAACATGAACACTTCTCATGATTACTGCGCTGACAAGAACCCTATAAATTTTAATATTTTAAATTTCCACATATTTTTAATATTACACAAATGAGACAAAGCCCTATTCTAGGCAAAATGTGCTCTAATTTTTTTCCCCGGCTACAATCAATAGAAATATTATTTATAATGCTGAAGTCATAAGCCCCTTTCCCGTAAAAGATGTATTTGCAATATACATTGTCACTATTTTAAGACAAGTATGTAAAGTTTAACTATCTGAAGCTCTGCTAGTACTGATGCTGGTCCAAAAAGAAAAATAGGGGACTTAAACTTCGTCACAACCTTTTCAGACAGGTGTTTCAGACTCATCAGGAATTGGGGATACTTCCAGAATAAAGAGAACACATGTAAGACAGATGGCCTTCATCTGAACCATAAAGGTGTATTAGCCTTTTGGTTTGGATCAGGAACATGTTTTTCAAGTGAATCTCTTGATCATTCCCACTTAATATGCTTCGGTTTGCCTTGCAAGAACTAAATTCTTTTCAGATGAAATAAATCCAGCAAACATGCTGAGGGAGCACACCAAATGCTCTCATCTGCTAACAGGAATTTAGCCGAGATGATCAAACAAGAGTTAATACAAAGTAAATATCCCCAAATATGTATAGTATAGCTGCTAGGTCCTCAGTACCAACTCTTGTTCTAAAAATCCAATCTAGTGCACTATGCTACTTATTTACATAGATGTATAGTTTAAGAAAACCAAACAGATAGCACTTCAAATCGAGGAATTTGCAAGTGAGCTTTTAAACTGAGGAATGTGGCAAAGCCAACAAATTCCTTCAAAACCTCATTCCAGATACATTCTCCTTGGAACAACATAAGAGGAAAGGGACTTTTTTTTTTTTTTTTCTTAAGTCAGACACAAATTCCTATCCTTAAGTACAGGACAGTCAGAGAATGGTAATCATCAAATAGGAAACAGAAGACAAATAAACTGTCATTTAAATAGGATGCCCAGAAATGAACCAAAAGAGCAGTTCCAGCGCATGCTAGGTGTCTATGAAATAAAGCATGGACAATGGAATTTCTGGTCTTAAATGAAGTCACACCTTTGTTCTTTCACAAGATTTCCCACACACCTAATAAATCAATGTGATGCAATAGTACCAGGTTATGAAATACACAGCAGAGTAAAACTGTGCCAGTCACGGAATGCTAATACCTTGTTAGAAAGCGTAGAATCAAGTCACAACCAATCTCAATAAGAGAATTCAAACAGACTGAAATTCCATACTTAAAAAGGAAAAAAATACAGTGCTGGATCAATATTGCTAGAAGACAATCCTGACCACAACATGCTAAGAAAGATCAAACAGGCTACAAGAGCAGGAAATACAATTTTAGTGCTGTCTTCAATTACCCGCTCAGACCGGGCAAGGGTCATACGAGGACACAAAGCAGGGGTGACATTTTTAGATGCTACCACTGACCATTTCGTGAGCTTGCTAACCAATTGCTCAGTAGGAAGAAATGCAACCCTTGATTTGGTACTGAGTGATGAGCAGGATCAGATTCAAAATTTCATAATGGAAACACTATGCAACAGTGTCCATAATATACTTAAAGTCAATGCTGCCACAGGAACAACAAAAGCAAATCCACCATAGCTGTGCTAGATTTCAAAAAGAGAAAAATGAAGAAGCTTGTTCAAAAGAAGCTAGGAGGACCAATTAAGAAAATTTAATCTTTATAAGAAGCATGCAGACTACTACAGGACATCATGTGCCCAAGTACTGTATCAGAAGATATCACCTATTAGGAAAGGCTTGAGAAAAGGGGGAAAAAAGCTGGCATGGCTGAACAGCAAAAGGCTGTTACTGGAAAACAAACAAAAAAGGGCATCCTATAGAAATATGAAGTTGTATCCAGGTTAAAACAGAAAGGTTCAAACTGTCAGATTAAAGTGTGAAAAATACAATTAAGCAGGCTTAATTGCCGGATTGTCTTATCCTGATAAATCCAAGATCTCTTTCCTGAATTACTAGAAACTTTATTAAAGGACAGATTCTGTGCACAACTGAACAGATTACGAAGCTATGAAATTCCTTACAGGAATACAAGGTTAGACCAGACAAGTATCCTGAAGAAGACTCACCAAGAGCTACTAAATACAAAAACCAAATCAGTCTCAGGAAACACTTTAGGAAACTCAGAATACAGCAGAAAAGGAGAAGAGTTTCATATTGTTCTTACTTTTCCCTAGTCATCTGCTTATCACCACTGCTGGGGACAAAACACGGGTTAGATTCTTGGCCTATCAGATTGCTCCTACCCAATTCAAATATACACCAAACGTTTTGCAAGTACTACAAGTGTAGTTTCTGCATAAGCCTATTTAAAGAGAATATACTGTACCTGTATATTAACTTGATAGTCTGTGGGTCCATGAATAGATCCATATAATCCAAATCCTACTATGGAAATTCTTCTATTAACTGTGAACCTAGTAAGACAAGCCAAAAAAGGAATTTAAACAGCTGCGATGGGTGTGTTACAGTCAAGCAGGAAAAAGACTCGCCCTGAAGAGTAGGGAAGTAAGCCGAAAATTACATTAAATTAATATTTTTTTTCAATAATGCTTTCTATTTAGATTTTGATACTAAGTTAAATGCTTTGTAAGGTATCAGCTTTATAGGTTAAAGCTTTGCTAATCCCCCAAGATAGTCAGTATCACTAAACAAAAACCCACCAGATTCTTTTGAATATCTCCAAAATAAAAAACAGATCAAGACTTGGTATTTTAAAAAGAAATATGCATCTAACAACCAATCACTTTAGAATGCACCCAGTCCTCCTGAACTTTGTTCTTTGCTACTTCATGTTTTCATGTGTGCAACAGCCTAATTTAAAAAAAAAAAAAAAAAGGAAGAGATCAAACATGCCCAAACAGAACCAGCATGTTTGTTACTGTATCTTATGCCAAAAAGTTGAAGTTGAGTAACATGTTCCCTTTCTTCCCACACTTCTGTGTCTCTCCTCCAAACAGTTTCAAAAGCCATACCTAATCCGATCACTTGTTCCACTATAGCCCCAGCGACTCTCCACTTGCTGGAACCTGTTAATGCTGCATTCTTTTCCTCTAAGGCAACATCTTGGTCGGTCAATATAATCTACTTTAGGTTTAGGATTGACAGTAAAATGCAGAAAGAGATTTACAACTTCCCGGTCTGACAAGATTCCAGACTGAGCAGGGCCTGTGAAAAGAAACAACTTCTAAGATGATTTGAAGAATTACTCCAGCTGTTGTATTTAAACCACACAGATTCACAAACTGAAGATGATAATATTTTCCAACGGTAAGAGTGTATTCTGCAGAATGTTTTGCTTTCATTTCTGCATTACAACTTTTACTAGTACAATATTAATAGCAGAATCGAGTTTTAAGCATCTAAACACTCACAGGTGACAGTGCAGAGATATGGTCTAACAGTAAGACAAAGAACCCCAAAACTCACCTGCTGCAAACTCTTCAATAGTCATTAATGGAAAACGGATTAAGGAAAGAGCTCTTCCAAGGACTTTTTGTTTGTTTCCAAATGTCACAGGCAGTTGTTGTCTTTGACATTCTGCTTCTGCCCAGCGAACAACAGCTCCAAAGAGTCTACTTTCTCGAATACTAAGGGTATCTCTTTCTAGAACTGCACATAATGTGTCTAAAGAAAAAACGTTAACAGATTTACATCAGTTTTCATCCAAACCAGTAACGGTGCTACACATTAAGTAAGCTTAGAATGTTAAGCAAGTTAACACTAAGAACATTCACAGTAACGCATCAAAGATAAGACATCTTACGTATAAATAAATCTCCCAATGGTGTATAGACTCCAAACCAAAAAATCACTTTCCTGCTATGAAGACAGCATACGAACTTTCTTCTTCATTCCTAAGAGTGTGACTATATATAAACTATGTAGTAACAACCAATATCCGAAAGAATTTCCATGGCTAGAGCAAAATCGAAACTGGAAGTGACCAAGTGGTGAATGCACACTACTGAAAAAAACAAGTTACTCACGATGACTTTGTCATATTCCCATCCGATTAGCCACCTACGAATCTGGATCAACTATAGACACAAGCAGCAGTGGTGCACACAAAACCAGTTTAATGATACATGAAAGTGATCTTAAACATTGACGTATTTACCACCCACAAAGCTTGAAGGTGAAACACAGAACGTGAGGCAAGGTACTCTCATGTATGTTTTACAAAAGCAAGTTTTCCTGCATTTCTTACTCTTTCTGGCATTTTATGAATAACAGGTATAGAAAAATTCTCAGTTTACCACCAAACACAAGCCTGAAAAAACGTGTTTTCATATTCTGAACATTCTGTTTTCTTTGGGAATTTTTATATGCCCTGAACTTAAGCAAGGCATGTTCGCGGTCATCAAAAGTATCATACTGTAAAGTCAAAACAGACTGGGACTTATCAAGAGCAGAGATGAACACTCACAGTCTGGGTACAAGTCTCACTGAACATGAGTTAACAATGACTTTGCAATTTCTTTAAGCAGCTGGAAAATGTTCCTTCAGTCTGAGTTTTTCACACAGTCTACCTGAATTGGACTAAAATCTTAGACACATATAGTATCAATGAAATTAACCAAATTTACAACTGCTAGCTTTTCATAAAAGATGAAACAGAGAAACCAGCAGTTTAGATCTTAATTATTTTTTTAACAGTTTTCATAAATCATACCTGATCTTCTGAATAGAGAATGTGGCAACAAAACAGTATCATTCCTGTTACACGGCAAAAGCAGGTGTGGATCCCTCGGGGACAAGGCACAACATTCAGCAAGTGAAAGCTTTCGCTTTATGTTCTGGTAACCCCAGGACACCTACACTAATCAAATGGGGACCCAATGCAGTGGAACCCTGTTTGGGAGTGAAGCTCAAAGGAAAGCACTGCAGGGGTAGATAATAAAACTTGTGCTGATTAACACATCATACACATGCAATGTCCTGTTTTGCTCATTAGCAAACTTGCTGATGTAATGCAAGTGCTGTTGTCCAAATTCTGAGATCCACAGCTGCCCATCATGTTGGCATCTGTGCAAAGGTGGGTTCAGATGAGGGGGAAAACAAACTACCTCAGGTTACCGTCACAAGGAGGTAAAATATCCTTGGGACTCTACATACTGGATGAGAGAGGCAAACTATCCTAGGTTACCGTAACAAAGTCTTCTCATGCCCTACAATTCCCTTCAGAAGTTTAACGCTTAGGATGCCCAAAGTAACTTACCTATATCAATATCAGTAAAGCCTTCTGCACTTATTGCATCCATAGTACTTTTGTCTATTGTGTCAAGACAAAGACTAGCAAGCTGAGGTTCATCAAATAAACGAGCCTAAAAAGGTAAAGAAAAACATCTTAAGCATAAAGTTGACAAACCACTAAGTCTTTCCTCCAGATTAATAAGCTGAGTCTGTAAAAATGCTAACAGAGGAACAAGACATTTTTATACATAAAATAGACTATGTGATAGCAAACTCACTGTAAAGCAATACTTAGTCATTTCCCTCCAAATACTGATTTTCCTAGTAAATCAAAACTAAGCTTAAATTTACCTACTTGAGTTAGCAGCATAAAGGCATTATCTGCTCGGAGGTGCTTCGTTAGAAAATCCACACAATGTGCTTCCAGGGCTGGGACTGCATACTTTTTAGCAGTGTATAAAGTAGTCATGACTGTTTCTGGACCAATTTGAACTTCATCTGAATAAAGAAACCTAAAAATCAATACACAAATATAGATCACAAAAATATATCTTGAGGGGGGGCAGTCAAGCACAATGTAACAGTCTCTCTGCAATTTGTAACAGTCAAAGATTTGCACTGCGAACATGCAACACTTCACCATGTAGCATTTTTTACAAATTAATATGCTAGTTAAAGAAAGAATATTAACGTTAACCTAATGGCATACATTTGTTTTAAATATGTATTACTCCCTAAGACTAATCCGGCTGTACTAGTTATACATAGCTACCGAACTGTAAACAACAGCTGAGCTGCAGAATTACTTAACATACAAATGCATGCTATTTTGATTCACTAGGAAGAGCTGTATTTCTAAGTATCAATACATAACCCTTCATGGCTATATTACTGAACTTAATTTATTGTCAGTGCACACTAGCTTCTCCACCATGAGGAGAATTGAGTCAAAGACTCAGACTGTGGTTAACACCTTATGTCAAAGTTACCATTCTGTAGTGTTTGGAGGAGAGGAAAGGGAGTAATATTCTAGCAGATGACCTTGACTCTTCTATTCCTGCCATAGCAAAACACTCTGGCTCGTCTCCACTGCTTGAGGCTAGATGATTGGTTGAGATTTTAGCAGAAGCTGTGAACCAAAACATAAAAGCCTCCACCAAAACCAGGAAAAAAACCTGTTTCCTAAGCAGGTGTTATTCAAGACCAGACAAGATAAGATTTATTTTAAGGTTCTGTATGGAAAAGATGACTTTTTAAAAATAACTTTTCTTACAGGTGACATTGAAGATAGCCTTAGCAATATTTCAGCAGTTTTTCAGATAATAATCAAGAATAGCTTGTGATTTACAAAAATACATTCGTCCCCAACACACAGGTGATTAAACATAATAAACCAGGGCACATTGGCAGGAATTCCACAATGAAGACCAAACCTTTCCTTCATATGTCTTAATATTTTTTGTTCAGAATCTCCTGGAAATGAATAGCAAGCAACAAGTAGAGACAGAAGGTGCTTAGAAGGGTTTTTAATGTAACAATAGCTAGTTAGTATTTAACAGAAGAAACCTGTGAAAGTAATGGACTCAAACTTGTTTGCAACATGGGGAGACCTAAGTAATAGAAACCTAGAACTAAAGTTTCAACTAAAGTTCTTTGCTATTTATATTTCTTATATTCGAAGAAAACTCTAATGCTCAGTAATTGCTAGCATACGATTAAATATGGCCTTCAACATAAAATTTGCTGCCACTTACCAACAGGTACATGTTTGCCATTACAATACTCCAATCCATTCAAATGACTAGCTTTCACATCAGTTGTGAATGATGATGCTCTACATTGTTTTTAAACTGGATTTACATCAAATAGCTTTTAGAAAAATAGTTTAATTAAATGGTAACATTTTTGTTAGTAAAAGTTTCATACAGTTCATTTAGAATTGATTTATGAAAGTTATGAGCTATTATCTGTTGATGAAAATGATGGGCTGTCTTGTCAGTCACAATCACTGACAAACTTACTTTTAAGAAACTAACATCTCGTAGGTACAGTTTTGTATATCAAATTGCCAAGTAGTTTATTAAAGAACTAGAATAGTGCCTTTAGATTTTGGTTTTAGATTTGAAAAAACAAAAAAAGCCCAAACTGTTTCAAAATGCCCTAACCTTCCTTGTATGACTTTATAGGAGCTTAAAATCCAAATCATGCAAGACTTGAGCATGAACAGGCTGTAAAAAAGCAGCATTACCACGCAAACTACATTATAAATTTTACCTAATCCTAAAAAAAAAAATAAAATTAATATTTTCACCAAGTTGTTTTTGGAACATGATTTTGGTTTTATTCTTTAAGCATGTCCAACCTGAAGCCAATGAACTGACCCACCAGAGGGGCTTGTCTGGCTTGTGGTTCACTTTCTGGTACACCTTCTTAAGAATCAGGGTGCAGTTCCAAATTGCACTTTTCTGATCCTTGCTTTCCCAGGAATTCTGCAGACTTTCTCCTCATATGATCAGAGACCAATTACATGGCCAAATGACAGGAAATCAAATGTTGTAACGGTGCATATACACGCAGGCTTTTCATTCATGTGAGATCTATGAGCTACAGGATGCTTTTTCATCCCATGAAAGATACACTTGAGGCTCTATGCTCCAATCCCTCCCCTGCTGTATGGCTGGATACATATTAAGAGACACTCCTCAACTGCAAGTGCATCAATGACAAACTGACTTAAGTGATTAAAGTTCTGATAATTAAAATTTGTGCAGCATCTCAAGCTCACCCTGTTGACCTCACTATCTGTTTCTGCACATCAATCACCACAGACCATAACAACTCACTGTCCCAGAACGTGCGATGTAGTTACATACTTTGAAACTGCAAAAACTCATGACAAGAAGTGTCCAAATACACTAAGAAAGTCACATTGTCAGTTTTTTGTGTAGAATATTTCAAGTTTTTGACAATGCCAATACTTGTCTGGGATTTTCAAAGCCAAATAGTAGCCTTTTACAAACACTAAAAAGTATGAATTTGCAAAGTTAAGCAGTAGCTGTAAAAACTACGAAAAATGGTTAAAAAGTACATTGCTCTAGGATGTTGTATAATCCCATTTCCCTTAAGTATATGGATGAATGATCACGATGTATTAATCTACTCACAAAAGAGGAACACTAGCTGTATCTTCTCTCTAAAAATCCCTCTGCTCAAGTGCCAAGAGCTCTGTCTCTGTGTTAACTCTCCCATTTGTGGCACGCCTGAACTAGCACACCTTTACGTTTATACCACTGCTCCTCCTCCGCTTGACTCGGTGGGAATCAAGATCACTCAGCCTTCTCCCTTGCCTTCTTCCCTCCTCTCCTCCCCTTTGAGAGACTTATAGAAATAACCTGCTCTTTAGATATGGACTCATTTTATTTTCATCCAGGATGGGAGGCATGTGTATGTGCATAGTGGAAGAAAACTTTCAGTGACCAGAACAATTTTCCAAGGGACCACTTGATCATTCACTTTACATAAAAGCCTCTCACACATTTTATGCCACTTTTATTTACTGTCAGGTTAGCACTTCTTCCTCCCCTAGTCTTAGCATCTTCCCAACAGCTGAAATATTTTCACCATTATAAAAGCACACAGGAATCTTTTTCCAGTTAGTCATGATTACGCCTCTATTTACTGCTTGCCAAAGTCCTCTGCAAAGACATTTGGAAGGTGGACTGCTAAATTTGTGCCATGTCGTCACTTTCCTTTATACTATTATCAGAGGACAAATTAAATTAGTGTAAAATGTATTTTAAAATGTGAACAAATTTTTTAAAAAATCGTATAAAACCAACAAAATACAACTCTAAAGCAGAATCCTACTGAGACAATGTTAATTTTCTTGATCACTGCTAGACAATTTGTACAGTTAGAAACATACAAAAAAAAAAGCTATTTAATTAGGAAGCAGATTCAAACTTTGTGATTGATACTATTTCGGCTCTTAAGGATTTATCTGTCAAATTACTGAAGTATTCAGCTGCTTTTAAAAAAAAAACTTCTGTGGCTCATGTTTGAAAACTCTTCAGGCAAGAGGAATACTGGATGATAAGCCAAAACACACACACCACAGTCATTTCTAGCCTTTGAGCTCAGCCAATTGTTTTCTAAGAAAGTTCTCTCCCCTTCCCCTGCCAATTTTAACAGGGTCCTCTTTTCCCATCTTTACAGTTAAGTTTTTAGTCCACAGACAAGGAAGACTACTCAACTTTCTCTAGGGGGAAAAACAACGTATTACTGGAATTACACTGGTACTATCCATTAAAGTTTCAGTTCATTATTTTTAAATACTTTAAGTCTACAAATCTATTATTTTAGAGGCCTCTGCCAGAAAAAAGTAGCAACTGTAGGTGATTTTAAATTGTGTAAGAATACATCCAAAAGAAAAATAAAAAAAACAGATGTCACATTAACTTGGTGACTACCAGATACTTAAATTGTTCAATTTCTAGCTACTTTTTTCTTCCCCATAAACATAATTCTTGAACTACCACCGATTTTGTGACAAAATACTAATACTGATGAAAGTTTACATCATAGGACAGAGAAGTGATACTCAGTCTCACTGAACAGATACAGATGGAATTAATTTTTTAAGAGAATTGGAAAAATTTTCATCAAAAAAAATCTTTTCCTTTAATTTACAAGTAGCATTTGTCAGTAGATCTTTATGAAACACGTCAACTACAGATAGGACCTAACAAACCACATGAATAAATAAAATGGAAACAAGTTGTAGAACATTAAATAATTAGTAAGTTATCCCTAAAAGTTTTTGCATCACTTAAACTTTCCTTTACCTTGATGTTCATTTGCTGTGTGTATTCAAAGATCCCAACTTAATTTCTAGCCAATACACCTCAAACTGATCTTTGCAAAGATTAAAGAAAGGTCCTATAAAAGGCAACCATCATTACCTGATCAATTTACTAATGATAGATAAAAGAGGCCAACAGCACAAGGTAAGTTCTTGCCTTTTCTGGCCAACCTCAGGGAAAAAAAACAGGTTGTCTTATAGTTGGTATACTTTAAAAACAACGTATACGAGCATGGAAGAAGTCCAGTACTTGTCTGTATTAAAATTCTCCTTATATATGTTTTTAACAAGGTGTTGCAGTGTATATTTATTCCAATATAAGATAGATATATATATAAAAAATATGGAAGAATGTCCTAAAAAGTTGTCATGTATTTCATTCCAAAAAAGACATCAAACCTGAGATGCTTCAACAGTTCATCAGTCTGGTGATACTTAGACAAGACACAAGCAAAATCAGTTTACTTACGTAAGTCCCCAGCGGTTACGTACTAGCAGCTTGACCAACACAAGATAGCTTTTGTTTGCTTCTAACAACATCTCTTCCTTCACTTCTACAGTTTTCAAATACCTTCCTTATCTTTACTTACAATTCTCCTGTTTCTGTGTTTATATTTTTATCCAGACAAACTTCTCTCATTATATCC